AACAGACGTCTATCAGACTATATTAGTTCAGACCAGATCATATCAAATTAGACTTGAAAGTTTCCGCCCAAATAACACATTCTAATTATGAATTTAAGCTATTTTCGTATAAGATATACGGAGTATGATCAATCGTACCTCACTTCAAAAGTACCGGTGATAATGGATCGAGTTTGGATGAAGTGGAGTTTGATACATCAACTTTACTATCTATCTAGTCTGGTTTCATCTAATATTTTACAATTGTATTATGTGTGTTTTACAATTTGTTGAAGTCTGATCTGATTTGATCTATTTAAGTGTGGTTTGGTCTAATTATATCTGAACTAAAATGAGTCCAATATAAAAACATGTTTGTAAAAAATAGATGGGGATGGAGGGATGAAGAATGGTTCATGTCCAAATCGCAGTGAATCGATGGCCATGAACACCCGGTCAAGGTCAATGGTGCTGATGAACTACTTCCCAACTAGCCCGGATTTGGCAATAGCTTGTAAGCATAACTCAGGGCCATTGAAGAACATGATGAATACATGTTTTGAAGCTTCTGGTAAAAGATGGCCAAATTTTATAGCTGTTGATTTTTACAAGGTAGTGTTATTTTAAATGATTGGATCTGTTTTATCTATTTTCCATCCACTGAATTAATTAAATGTTGTTTGGGAGTGTTGATTTGTGCAGAGGAGTAATGGAGGAGGAGCTCCAGAAGCGGTTGATTATGCTAACGGTCAACTTCTCTGTGGTTGTTGTGCTAATGTTGATTCTTGCCGGGTAAAAGGACATTCCATATACACTTAAAAACAGGCTACTGTTGTTTTCCGAATAAATTTCACTTTTAATTTTACGAGTATTGCACCAATTTCATAATTAGTACACGTCTTTAAATTTGATCACTCTTGATACATGACTATTGTGTTTTTGCCAATATATGATCCTTCCATCAATGTTTTTGATGGTAAAAATCACCGGAAAAATCCCAAATAGTCAAAAAAACATTAGTCAAGCATCAAAAGTGAACAAAGTAAAACACGTGAACTAAATTTGAAATTGACATAAAACTTATCGGAGCAAAGGTGAGTTCTATTCATTGTCTTTCTTTAATATCATAAGATCGGTTTTGTTGTTTATTTGTTTTATCAATCAGTTTAAAATAAAATACAAATTTTTTTATTCCACGTGCCAAAGTTTATATACGTAGTAATATTTTTTTTGAAAGGAAATACGGAGTACGTAGTAATATAAAGTTAGTACGACTGGACTACTAGAGTAACTGTTCTTGTTGGTTTGCTGGTTTCTTTAAAGGTGATTGTTTAATTTTAAATATAAAACTTTCTAGAATTAAGCAGTTTGAACCATTTAACTAATCATAAATTTCACTAGATAATGCCAATATAGGCATTATCAAACAAACTCTTATTCATTTTTTTTACTTAGTTCAATTTCTATAATAAAATGAGGATAATACTACTCCTATTTGTTGCCATTTTTAATACTACATGAGCTGATCTTTTCTTTAAGCCTAATAATAATGTTGTAACCCAATAGTTAATCAATGTGTTAAACTATTTTAACTATTTAAGTTGTGTGTATGCAGCAAAATATGACTTTTGGAGTGTGTGAGATGCCAGCTCAAGCAGCGAGTATTCCTCCTCCAACAACAAGTATTCCTCCTCCAACAACAAAAGTAACAAGAAAAGCAAGTGTTACGAGTGGCGGGGATAATTGTTGCGCGCTTCAATTAAGATGGCTAATGGTTGTGTGTTTGTTGTATTGTTTAATTATGGTAGCAGTTTAACAAATTAAAGATCGTTCCCCAGCCAATTATTATAATTAATTATATCAAATGTTTGATTCTAATCATTGATCATAGGGTTCTAAGATCACCTTTATGTACATACTCTTGTTCACATCCACATTATGTAACCCTTAAAAAGAGCAACATATCTACAATCTTATAGGGAGTAATAGCCAATCAAGGTTAGGGTATTATGAGTATAAAAAATGTGTTTGTGTAACATGTAGCTATCTGCTGTTGCACACTATTCTATTTATTTTGTATGTGTGAATGCTATTCTAAAGCATAAACTCCTAAAGTTACCGTTTTACTCCCGTTAACAAGTTGTCGTCTAATCTCCATTCATCTACCTTGCGTCCTCGTCCTCAATGAAGATGTCTTCACCTCTTGTACCGTGGAATTCAAATAGGCATCTAGCTATTTCCAACATGCTTTGCTAGCTCATTTTCCATAAACATTGGATTGTGTATTTCATAGCTCAGTAAAGGAAATGGATTTCCAAACTTCTCCATACTATTATTTGTCATTGTCGTGCAGATCAAGTCATATGGAACTCATAAGGGATAGAAGATCAACAATTTTAAATATACTCCCTCTTTTCATTATTCTGAAACAATATCACATTTGGCTGGCTTTAGAATGTGCTCCCTCCTAATGCGAGACTTCAGAAGTGTTTGCAAAAGAATTAAAAAAGCGTTTCTCAACATTTGACTTTAAAAAAGCTTAAATTGGTGTTTTCAAAGGACAACTTCTGCTTAACTTAATCACTTAAAAGCTAAAAGCTAGAAGCAGGTTGAATGTACTTTAAACTGTTTTTCACTTTTCCTATTACACAAAAACACTTATTTTATCAAACACTACCAACTTTTATTTTTTTTTTATCAGAATCACTTTTTTCTCAAACACTACCAACTTTTACTATTAAACACTTTTTTCCAAAATCACTTTAAAAAATCACTTTTCTAAAGTAGAAACAATCGCAAACACTCTCTTCATATGCCTATAAATTAAAAACAAAAAAGCGAACTCGAAGTTTACGAGAACTATGTGAGATGCAAATTCCGATGTATCTTTTGATTTTGTAGAAATGTATATACTATATATACTCGTACAACGCGCGATACAAAAACTAGTATTTATATAAAGAGTGTTAACTTGTTGAACACGTACGTATAGTCCAAATGTATGTATTATAGTCAGTCTCCCTCTTCATTTTCCAAAAAATTGTTCTCGATGCTTGAGTTTGTTTAATTTCATTACTATTCTAGAGTCTAGACTTCTAGTCACTAGGCAATAAACAATATTTATTATTATTTTGTATATACGGAGTATATAAAATGGAATTGCTTTAAATAAATGGAAAAATTCCCGGGATATGACTAAAACAAAGTGAGTTTCTCGAAATGTGACTAGTTATGTTTTTTTCTCGAAATATGACCAAAAATCGAAAAAAAAAAAGAATTTTTCGTTATATTAAATTGTGGAAGGCCAAAAATACCCTTTTTTTAAAAAATATGCATTTTACACTAATTTCGTCCGGGTAAAAATATTGCACTTCATGAAGGCGTTATTGCACTACATTTATTGCACTTTATGGCGGTATTCACTGCACGACATAACATTACATAAAATGAATTTAGCGTTTTTTAGATTTCATAACTTTAGTTCTTACATTTGGTTAAATATTACAAATGATGCTATGAATTTATAGATATTTTTTCATGTCATTTTTAATGCACTTCTTTTCATGTCATTACACTTTTTACATTATTGCGCTTCTTGCCATATCATTGCACGTTTTGTCATAACTCATTGCGCTTCTTGTGATGTTCATGGCATTAAATATAAATTATTCATTGCACACTTATTTCATCGTCTTCAACCTAGGTTCGTCTTCAACCTCGGTTCGCCATCAACCTTGGCCGCCTTGACTGAAGAATCTGAGTTGTAGGAGCGGCAGAGGGGCGCAGCTGAGCGGCAGTGATTTGGATCGAGTGCAATCGTGCGGTTGGACGGCGACGAGGACGGCGACGCTCAGGGCTTGGAACGATGTTGACGACCATGAATTGGGATGGAGGCGGCGCCCATGGATCGGGACGACAGTGGCGCGCAGGTGTAGTGATGGCGGTGGTGTACTGGCGTGATCGGTTGGCGGCGACGGCGGCGAACAAGGGTGGAACTAGAGATGGACTGGTGGTCGGTGGACGGTGGCCGTGAAACCTGCGAGTAGATGGACTGGTGGCGGCGGCGGCCATGCTATTGGACGGCGGCGGACAGTGAGCCGGCGGCAGCGAGGCGTGCGGGGAGCGCAGGAAGCCAGAGATCTTTTGCGTCTAGTTGCTAGGGTTGGAGAAAAAGGGTAGGAGCTTAGGGTTTTATAGATATAACATAAAGGGTATATTTGTCCATAGAAATAATTTAATTATTTATTAATTACGAATTTTAATTAAATAATACAAATTAAGGTAATATTTTGAGAAAAAAACTAGTTTGGTCTTAGATTGGGAAAGTAAAAGTGTTTTAGTCATATGGGGGATAATTATATCTAAATAAATGTCAAATATTGAAAAATTCAAATACATGTTTTGTATTTAGTAAATAGAACTGCACACTACCTTTTTAACTCTATTAAATTTCTTAAATTAATCGCAGCTCTATCTTACCCTATCTTGTCTTATGATTCTCATTTCTCGTCATACTCCCCTAAATGTTTCAATTCATCTCTCTCGCTCTCTTCAGTTTGCAGCGGCGTCTCTTTTCTCTTTCGATTTTCATTCTCTATTTTTTGTCTTCCTAGACGAATTATTTTCAATTATCTTCCCTTTTTATTGATTTTGATCCATCGTTTTAGAAATTTTCAATTTTCATCTTATCATTCAAAGTGTGCCTAGCTAACAACACTTTGACGCCTCTCTATTCTAGACGTGTTAGGATACTTATTTTTAAAGAGTGTTATGATACTTAACCACTCATAATAAATTTAAGAGCCCATTTGATAATTTCGAAATTGGTTAGATTAGATGAATTAGCTATAATTGATGAAATTCTAGTGATGAAGCGGCTGGATATACTGAATTATGAAAAAAAAATATTTAAAATACTTCGTATATTTTATTAAAAAGTCAAGAAAAAGTCATGTGACAATAGTTAAAAAGTCCTATACAGTAACTTCAGTCAATTCAAACAGAAAAACAACTTTAACCTTCTACATTTTGATTATTATACAATTCACTGCGCAAAACCAAAAGTAATATGCTTGAGAAAAAATTGACTGATGTTGAGTTTAATCCAACACGATATAGTAAATATATGTATGAACACTCAGTTTTTACGTGGAAACCCGAAAGGGAGAAAACCACGGGACTTTTTAGGCTAATGTCCAAGCCCTCTCTTTCTCATTAGGACTCTCCTCACCATTACATAGTACAATTTGTTTGAAGCTCCCATTCATGGAGTTCTAATCTAGCTAAGGAGGGAGAAGAAGAAAGGAAAAAGGGGATCCTTTACATGGAGGCTAAGCTCCGTATTTATAGGGGAAGGAGAGAAGGGGCTCTCCACCCTAATGGGCCAAACGGGCCGATATCAGGACTGGTGGTCAAAGTGGGCCGGATGGGCCGAAATGGGCCTAGCTGCTCGGGCTCCGTACTGGATAATGTCTTGGGCTCCTGAACAGTAATAGGCCGGGATAATATATCCCAACACAAGTCCCCCAGTTTCTTGAGTAGTGAGCTCGCGAATCTGCTCGAGAAAATATACTCTGCCTGCGCTCTTCCTCTGTCTTGCTGGAAACTGTGTCTTCACATAATCATAATATATGAGTGAGTGTCTGTACTCCTGAACGTAATCTACCAGTGAGGCACCCCCCTTTCCGACATGGTCGGGCGAAGGGTGCTCCTCCACGGGCACGCTCCCCCTGAATGCATCAGGCGAGAGTAGAGGACTCTGACTCGAGCTTTCCAATCGGAGAAGCTTAGAGGTCCATGCGTCTATAAACCGATGTCGCGGTACTGTCAAAACACGATGCACATGTGTATGTATGAATGTATGAGGTATGATGCATGAATGCATGAATGCATGTAATGTATGGGTGCGATGTATGAGAGAAGGAATGTGAGATGTGATAGAAAGCGGTGGCTCTCATCGATAAACCGGGCATGTCAGCGCCGAGGGGCAGACGTGCTGCATAAGAGACGTTCGTCGCCATCCTGAAAGGGATGGGCGACCCTAACGTGAGCCAGACACGATGGTGCTGGGGCGCTGATCGTGCTGTATAAGAGACGTTCGTCGCCATCCTGGAAGGGATGGGCGACTCTAACGTGAGCCAGACACGATGGCGCTGGGGCGCTGATCGTGCTGCATAAGAGACGTTCGTCGCCATCCTGGAAGGGATGGGCGACCCTAACGTGAGCCAGACACGATGGCGCTGGGGCGCTGATCGTGCTGCATAAGAGACGTTCGTCGCCATCCTGGAAAGGATAGGCGACCCTAACGTGAGCCAGACACGATGGCGCTGGGGCGCGGATCGTGCTGCATAAGAGACGTTCGTCGCCATCCTGGAAGGGATGGGCGACCCTAACGTGAGCCAGACACGATGGCGCTGGGGCGCTGATCGTGCTGCATAAGAGACGTTCGTCGCCATCCTGGAAGGGATGGGCGACCCTAACGTGAGCCAGACACGATGGCGCTGGGGCGCTGATCGTGCTGCATAAGAGACGTTCGTCGCCATCCTGGAAGGGATGGGCGACCCTAACGTGAGCCAGACACGATGGCGCTGGGGCGCTGATCGTGCTGCATAAGAGACGTTCGTCGCCATCCTGGAAAGGATAGGCGACCCTAACGTGAGCCAGACACGATGGCGCTGGGGCGCGGATCGTGCTGCATAAGAGACGTTCGTCGCCATCCTGGAAGGGATGGGCGACCCTAACGTGAGCCAGACACGATGGCGCTAGGGCGCTGATCGTGCTGCATAAGAGACGTTCGTCGCCATCCTGGAAGGGATGGGCGACCCTAACGTGAGCCAGACACGATGGCGCTGGGGCGCTGATCGTGCTGCATAAGAGACGTTCGTCGCCATCCTGGAAGGGATGGGCGACCCTAACGTGAGCCAGACACGATGGCGCTGGGGCGCTGATCGTGCTGCATAAGAGACGTTCGTCGCCATCCTGGAAAGGATAGGCGACCCTAACGTGAGCCAGACACGATGGCGCTGGGGCGCGGATCGTGCTGCATAAGAGACGTTCGTCGCCATCCTGGAGGGGATGGACGAGCTGAACGTGAGCTGGGTACGATGGCGCTGAGGGGCCGATCGTACTGCATAAGACGGTCGTCTCCATCCTGGAGGGAATGGGCGAGCCGAACCGTGAATCTGGACACGATGGCGCTGAGGGGCCGATCGTGATGCATAAGACGGTCGTCGCCATCCTGGAGGGAATGGGCGAGCCGAACCGTGAATCTGGACACGATGGCGCTGAGGGGCCGATCGTGATGCATAAGACGGTCATCGCCATCCTGGAGGGAATGGGCGAGCCGAACCGTGAAGCCAGGTACGATGGCGCCGAGGGGGCCGATCGTACGACATAAGACGGTCGTCGCCATCCTGGAGGGAATGGGCGAGCCGAACCGTGAAGCCAGACACGATGGCGCCGAGGGGCCGATCGTACGACATAAGACGGTCGTCGCCATCCTGGAGGGAATGGGCGAGCCGAACCGTGAAGCCAGACACGATGGCGCTGAGAAGCCGATCGTGCTGCATAAGACGGTCGTCGCCATCCTGGAGGGAACGGGCGAGCCGAACTGTGAAGCCAGATACGATGGCGCTGAGGGGCCGATCGCACTGCATAGGACGTTCGTCGCCATCCTGGAGGGAATGGGCGATCCGAACGTGAAGGAGACACGATGGCGCTGAGGGGCCGATCGTGATGCATAAGACGGTCGTCGCCATCCTGGAGGGAATGAGCGAGCCGAACCGTGAAGCCAGGTACGATGGCGCTGAGGGGCCGATCGCACTGCATAAGACGTTCGTCGCCATCCTGGAGGGAATGGGGCGATCCGAACGTGAAAGAGACACGATGGCGCTGAGAAGCCGATCGTGATGCATAAGACGTTCGTCGCCACCCTGAAAGGGATGGACGAGCTGAACGTAAGCTGGGTACAATGGCGCTGAGGGGCCGATCGTACTGCATAAGACGGTCGTCGCCATCCTGGAGGGAATGGACGAGCCGAACCGTGAATCTGGACACGATGGCGCTGAGGGGCCGATCGTGATGCATAAGACGTTCGTCGCCACCCTGGAAGGGGTGGACGAGCTGAACGTGAGCTGGGTACGATGGCGCTGAGGGGCCGATCGCACTGCATAAGACGGTCGTCGCCATCCTGGAGGGAATGGGCGAGCCGAACCGTGAAGCCAGGTACGATGGCGCCGAGGGGCCGATCGTACGGCATAAGACGGTCGTCGCCATCCTGGAGGGAATGGGCGAGCCGAACCGTGAAGCCAGACACGATGGCGCTGAGGGGCCGATCGCACTGCATAGGACGTTCGTCGCCATCCTGGAGGGAATGGGCGATCCGAACGTGAAGGAGACACGATGGCGCTGAGGGGCCGATCGTGATGCATAAGACGGTCGTCGCCATCCTGGAGGGAATGGGCGAGCCGAACCGTGAAAGAGACACGATGGCGCTGAGAAGCCGATCGTGCTGCATAAGACGGTCGCCGCCATCCTGGAGGGAATGAGCGAACCGAACCGTGAATCTGAACACGATGGCGCTGAGGGGCCGATCGTGATACAGAAAAATAGTGATGATCATCTCATGGCCCTCGGCCTCTCGCGGCCCTCGGCCGTGCTGGTGATGTGTCAAGTCTCTCTCCTGATTGGCTGTGAGAAGCCGATCGTCTGCCAGGACTCCATTCGGGAAGGAATGGTGAGCCTGAAATAAATCCGGGCGATGTCCCTCCTACCTGATCTGGGGAGCTGGTATTCGTCGTTTAAGACAAAAGAAAACCTGATGTTAGCCGATCGTCGTCGGCCACCTCATTCTTCGTACTTAAGTTTTGTAATTATTCTTTTACATATGTTTTTCAGTTTGTACTTCCCGGCCAATAGCGCCGAGGGATAAAATCATTCTTTGCTCCGTGCTCTTCTGGCATCTTTCTTTCTTTTTTTTTTTTTTTTTTTTTTTTCCCCTTTTTTTTTTGGAGTCTTTTAGTCTTCGTTCGTCCTTGGTCCCTGGTCCCACCGGCGTCCCTACTTCGAGGAGACGTTCGGTGTCCGCCGACATCGCAAGGAGGAACAGGTTTATCTACATCGAGATTCCCCCCTTTTTTCGTTCGTCCGTGGTCCTTTTAGCCTTACCGACGTCTCTTGCTTCGAAGAGGACGTTCGGTACCCAAGGACTCGCAGGGACGAACTGGTCTACCCTCACGGGTTCCCGTCTTTGTTATCCCACGTCCATCGATCCATGGTCATTTGTGGGATAAACAGGTTTATCTTGGCAAGGCTCCCTTGGTTCGTCTAGCCCCCTCCGCGTCTCTACTAACCTCTACATCGAGGGGCGTTCGTCTTCGGCGGTGGGAGAAGATCTGGCACGCCCGGGCAAGATTCCCTTCCATATAGGAGCTACCCTCCTCTTCTCCCCATCTTTTTTTTTTTTTTTTTTTTTTTTTTTTTTTTTTTTTTTTGAGGGAGGCAATCTATATTCTTCGTTCGTCCTTGGTTCTTGGTCCTACCGGCGCTCTTGCTTCGAAGAGACGTTCGGTATCCGCGAAACTCGCAAGGAGGAACAGGTTTATCTACATCGAGATTCCCTAGCTCTTCTTTGTCCGTCCCTGGTCCGTGGTCCTACCGATCTTCCTACATCGAAGAAGAAATTCGGTATCCAAGAAACTCGCAGGGATCACGGGATGTCACACATAATGGTGGTGGCATGGCGAACAAATATAACGACGAGGCGATAGAATAGCTGGTCGTCATGCGAAGGCGATGGTCACCCTCCTGAAGGGAGGGGTGAGCCCGATCGCTAACTCAAGAGGGTCGGCATTGGGAGCCGATATACAAATGATCACAATGTCGCTGAGCAGTCGGTCCTGATAATGGAGATGGCAATAGTGTCCGGTCAGGCCGATATATCCGAGCAACGGCTCTCATCCAACGCAACGCGGGGATGAAACCGGTCTTCAAAAGATAAATATGTCGTGCCGAGAGGCCGAACATAACATGATAGTGTCGGCAGTGAGAGGCCGACCTGAAAGAATCAAACAACGGTCCTCATCCGCGAGGTGGCGGGGACGAGGCCGGTCTTCAAAAGATAAGCACGCCGAGCCGAGAGGCCGGTCGTGGTATAATGGTGTCGGCAATGAGCGGCCGATCTGAGAAAATCAAGCAACGGTCCTCGTCCGCGAGGGCGGGGACGAGGCCGGTCTTCAAAAGATAAGCACGCCGAGCCGAGAGGCCGGTCGTGGTATAATGGTGTCGGCGATGAGAGGCCGACCTGGAAGAAATTCAGCAACGGTCTTCGTCCGCGCAGCGCGGGGACGAGGCCGGTCTTCAAAAGATGATCACGCCGTGCCGGGAGGCCGGTCGTGATATGATGATGTCGGTTGGCCCCCGGCCGTGACGGTCTCCTCTAGGCCTTCGGCCTCTGAATGATGGATGATCGTCTCACGGTTCTTCGCCGTGATAGTTCCCTCTAGACCCTCGGCCTCTAGGTGTTCTTCCTAGGCCATCGGTCTCTGGGGTGGAGATGCTCGTCCCACGGTTCTCAACCGTGGTGGTCTCCTCTAGGCCCTCAGCCTCTAGGTGGAGATGCTCGTCTCACGGTCCTCAGCCGTGATGGTCTCCTCTTTAGCTGGCCCTGAATGTCTTTAAGACTCAGGCCGAGCATCTTTTAATCATTTCGCTCGAGCGCATCGAGTGGCTTCAGCTGCGCAATAAACATGGTAACGGGCCGCACGGCCCGACAATATGTATACACACATAACCATCTGCATGGCTTTCTCTTTAACATCCACGATTACCGGCCTATGGGTCATCGTGACCCTCGGCCCGGCTCATCGTGCGGGGTTAAGGGACGTAGCAGCTCGCGGCGAGGCCAATTAGCAGCCCGCCGAACGTCACATAGAAATACTCATTGGTCTGTGAGTTTTCAAACTCAGACCCAAGTTAGTCGCACTGCCCTCGGAAAAACGAGGTTGAGTGCTTTGGTGCCCTCGGGCCCCATAGGCCACGTTTGGCAATAGTCACTTCGCGCCTAGCGGCGCGGATTACATTGGGGTATGATCGTCGATCGGGCACGTAGTGCCGTGCGGACTAATGCGCACCCCTCAAATTAAAATGCGTCGTCGGGGCATCGCCTTTCCGGGGACGCTCGGATCACTTAATCAAGCTGATCGAGAGTGGGCCAACAGGCCCCACGAAAAATTAAATATTCAATAAAATATTGGCCGAACTAACTATCACTAGAGCCTCGCTCCGCATTATTTAATTCGGGACATTTATCCCCAATAAATAATAGTGATATAACATGTAATAGCAATGATACTTTCCTATCAAAGGCCATTCAAGTATACTCCGTTCGCTAATTAAAGCCGATCAGGAGCGGGCCGACGGGCCCATAACAACCAATCATTAATTAAAATGATGGTGAAAACTAATTATCACAAGAGCGTCGCTCGACATTATTTAATTTTGGGAGATTCTAATCCCTAATAAATAATGGTGATAAAATAATAATAGTAAAGGAACATTATTCCAATTAATACTCAAATTAGCAAATGGTGAAGGTTTTTTGTGAAACTTAGCTCTTGTAGCGTACGTCTCGGCTTGGAATGCCCCAAGGAATATATGTTGACCGAGTCAACAATCACTTTCCCACATGATGACTAATGCGAAGCTCGTCAATCCCCAAATGAGGACTTGGTCCACATCCCTCCTTCCACGACGTGGCTTGCTTCCAACCAAGAACAAACCGAAGTGCTGTCCACCTGCTGGCCGCTTGCTGGCAGTTGTCAGTGAAGGTCGCCGAAGGTGCAAGGACGGCGACGGAGGCCGGCCTCCGGTGGGAGTCCGACAGAGCTTCAAAATGTCCCCTCCTTGAGCTCGGTGAAGTTGATGAGCCCCTGCGACGATGTCCGCCGGTGCCGCGACTGGAGGAAGGAGCTGCGACTGGGTGACGAAGTTGGAGGGCGGAGCTCGCACTCCACCTCCGTCTTGGTGCAGCGTCGCGGCCGGACTGGGTCGGCAATCGTTATTTCTTCCGATTCTTACTAGATCTAAGAACTTCTCAGAATCCATTTTTCTTCTTTTTTTGCTGGAATCAGTCCATTTCATATGATTTTTTCATAGAACACATGAATCTTTTTGAACAGATTCCCACAGACGGCGCCAGTGTTGAGTTTAATCCAACACGATATAGTAAATATATGTATGAACACTCAGTTTTTACGTGGAAACCCGAAAGGGAGAAAACCACGGGACTTTTTAGGCTAATGTCCAAGCCCTCTCTTTCTCATTAGGACTCTCCTCACCATTACATAGTACAATTTGTTTGAAGCTCCCATTCATGGAGTTCTAATCTAGCTAAGGAGGGAGAAGAAGAAAGGAAAAAGGGGATCCTTTACATGGAGGCTAAGCTCCGTATTTATAGGGGAAGGAGAGAAGGGGCTCTCCACCCTAATGGGCCAAACGGGCCGATATCAGGACTGGTGGTCAAAGTGGGCCGGATGGGCCGAAATGGGCCTAGCTGCTCGGGCTCCGTACTGGATAATGTCTTGGGCTCCTGAACAGTAATAGGCCGGGATAATATATCCCAACAACTGATAAGACCGATAAGGTAAAAAAATGGATAACCAAACGGTCTCTAATATTAATGACATAAAAAGTATCTATGGGCACATTTCAAGTAGGGGTGGGCTAAATGGTTTGGTCCAACCGAATCGAACGAAAAATTGGTAGTTTGGTTTGGTTTGAGCTAGCTCACTGAAGTAAACCGTTTGGTTATAATTTTCTGAATCGAATCGTTTGGTTTTAAACCAAAAAATAATAAATTGAACTGAACAATTTGTAATATTTATTAAAAATATTTTATATTTGTCTTCACTTTTCATCTTTAGGATAAAAATAAATAACTCAAATATGAAAAATGCATGTTTAGCATACATCATTTTAACTTTTACATATATCATAATTTTATTATAACAACTTGTATTTGTAATATTTTGTACTCTGTAACAAAAATGTTTGGTGATGACATCAACACGTTCCATTTATATCGATCAATTTCACTTTTACTAGAGTACAATGTACATTAAAGTATATATTAAACATGATTTATTTGAATAAAAAGTGGATTTTACTCGATTCTTTTGGCGACTCATTTAATTTTGTATGAATATTCTATGTGATATTATAAATAATGTGAATCAATAATAAATTCAATTTTTATGAGAGAAGAATCTGTTTCCAGCGGTTGGTAGATTTTAAATGTTTTCATGTCATCAATCTTAGTAAAACAAATAAGGTGTTAATATATAATATTTTATTATTTCCTTTCTATCTTTTATTTTCTTTCAAATTTTACTTAAATAGTAAATACAAGGAGGTGTGGTGAACTACTTTTGTTTTCTATTTCTAAAAAATAGAACCTGGAAGTATAGAACTTATAAACCAATATTTATGAAATACCGAATCAAACCGAACTAAATTGAACAAAATCATTTTCACTTTTGTAATCCAGATTTGAAACCGAACCGAACTGAACTACTCCTAAGCCGAACCGAAGCACAAATCATTTTAACTTTTGTTTTTTTTGAATGAAATGATTTTAACTTAGTACAAAAATAAAAATAAACAAGACTACAGTATATACTCAAAATGGTCCAAATATGTCATGCGAAGAAGAAAATAACACGGAGCAATGTATGAAGAGAGATAGACTGAGGGCCGCGCGCGCCTGGTAATAGTTATCCGCAGAGCAGAAGAATTTCTTCGGCGGCTTGCCTGTATATTTCTTCCACTGGAAACTGAGTTGCATATCCACTTGTCACCTATTACAATCAAACGACATTAATTCCATAGAAGTAGTCACGAATATACGTAATACTACTTAAGTAAAGATATTGAATAAAAATGTGAAATATATATAGGACTAAAATAAAAAATGACAAAGTACTGAATAAGATACTCCCTCCATATTGTCCAAAAAAGATACTCCCTCCATATTTAAAAAGGCTAAAGAGTGCGATTCCCAGTCGCCAATTAGGGCGATTCCCGATGCAATTTTTTGATGAAATTTTTTGAGCATCTTCTTCATCAAGTCTAGTTCACCCATACCAAATTTTAGATAAAAATTCAACCGGGAAGACAGTCAAATGATTTTCTGAAACGTGTTGCGCTATTTAACTCGGCAATTATCTTCAAAAATTCATTTGACTGCTGATACGCGTGTAATTTCCGTGTGTATGTTTACGTTTTTAGTTAGTTTTGGTTGTTTAATATTTCGGAAATTACACACTTTTGGTGTAATAGTTATGTTTGTAATTTAGTTGTAATTCATTTAGATTAGGATCATTCTGAGCTTAAACAGGTCCAAGATCAATCAAATGATCATTGGTGAAAGAAGGTGCAAGAGTACAAGACAAAAAGGAGGCAAAATCCTGATTTTTTACCTGTACCCGATCAAGTATACCATATACTCGATCGGGTACCAACTGGACTTTCAATAAGATCAATCAGGAGACAAAAGGGTGTGCAGGGGAAGATTTGACCACGATCAATTGTAATACCCGATCGGGTATACCTTACATTTGCACTCTGAAATCGATCGAGTATGCCTCAAAACTACACTTTTTACACATACCCGATCGGGTACCCTATACTTACTCGATCGGGTACCCGAACTGCACTCCCAAAAAGCCTATAAATACACCCCCTTCCCTTCACAATTAGACACCAATTCCTTTATACTCTTAAGCTCAGTTTAGAATAGCATTTCTTTATATTTTTCTATCATGTTTAGTCTCCAAATGAGGAGCTAAACTTCCATTTCTTGGTATTGCTCTTGAAGCTTGTTGATTATTAAAGTTGTGATTTATTTTCTTAACTTCTTTCCTTGAATATTAATTCTTCCTCTAAATACTATTTCTATATCAATGTTGGGGAGTGTTACTAAGATGACAATTAGTTAACATCTTGACATTGGTCTTAGTAATAGCTATTCCTTCCTCTATGTTAATATTGGGGAGTGTTACTAAGATGACAATTAGTTAACATCTTGATATTAACTATAGTAGGATTCATTTTCTTTAATAATTCTTCCTTGAGTATTAATTAATTAATTCTTATTCATATTTCATATTAATATTTTGAACATTACTTAAAGCATCAACTAGTTTTGTTTCATATATTAATTATTACTAGAAACGATCAACGAACCGATGGTTAATCGTTGATAGTTTCACAAGTAAGTAACTTCGGTTTGTTAATGCACGGTCGTGGTTAATAAACTTAAGAGGGATTAATTTTGTTGGTTAAACTGAAACCGTTGTGTTGAGGTTATCAATCTCAATTGATTTCATCAAGGAGTTAAGAGATTAAATGCTACTATGAAGTCGGTATATGACATTGTTCTATACTTGACTAATAGTAAGGGTTATTAATGAACGGTCGTTGTTAATAACTAACCTCGATGAATTGGATATACTTCTCGATTGAGTATTCGAGAGGAGATAAGTTATAGATGTAACAATGATCGACTAAAATATATCAACAAGTGGAAAGTAGCAATGCCAAGTCCTTTTTATCTTTGAATTAAATCACATATAACTCGTTCATCTTCGTGTTTAAATTTAATTAAATCACTCAATCCCAAAACCCCCCTTATTTACTAGTTTTACTAAAAAGAGAATCATTCCTTTCCTTGTGGATACGAACTGTACTTCACATAGTGCTTGTCAACTGCATTCTCGATTGAATTTTTATCTAAAATTTGGTATGAGTAAACTAGAGTTAATGAAGAAGATGCTCAAAAAATTTCATAAAACAATTCCACCAGAAACCGCTCCAATTAACGACGGTCGGACATAGCTTCCTATATAAGATCATATATATAAGGGGTGAATTGCACTTTTTAAGTTAGTTCGAGAGTCTATTTAACCCTTTAGCCTATTTAAAAAAGCCCTATTGCACATTTACTATATTCTAGAACTACTTGGGTCAATTCCTCTTTTTTATACCCCGTGTGAAGTCATGATATATACTTTGTATAATACTCTTTCATCCCAAAATATAAGATATATACAATCCGATGGGGCTGTTTTAGAATTTCAGAAAAATTTTGTTGCCAGGCTTCATGTTTCGACGTTTCTTTATGGATGCCCCCAAAAAATCGAAAATCATTTTGCGTTTTTCTTATTTATCGGTTTTGGGGGAGATTAGATCGCGCAAGGTTTCAAATTGCGGACTGCAACACATGTTGCGGCCGCAATGTTGCGGTCGCCTGGGGCACTGCAACCGCATCAGCCCGCAACACCGTTGTGCTTTCGATTCACGGCCAAAACCCGCAATGGAACTGCGACGAAACTGCAACGTAACCACAACGACACCACATCACCCCGCATCCGGCCGCAACCGACCGCAACAACCCGCAGATGACTAGAGTTCTCTCATTCTCTGGTCTGCATGGCTGCTGTGTTGCACCCTTCCAAAATTCCACCTCGTCTAAGCTAAGCCTTACTTATTTAATTAGTCATTTTTTTTTATTTAATTGTTGTTAATTAGATTCGAGGTTCCATCCTAAAAGGTCAACCTGATAGGAGGAGTAACTTAGATCTTAATATAACATTTATTGATTGAAACTTTTTTGGTGTGGGACTTTAACACCCCTCCTCACGATCAGTCACTTCGTCTGGATGGTGCATTTATTCATTTTTTTTCGTCGTCATTGTCATTTTCTTTATGATCGTGTCATCATTTTTCATAAGGGGACCCACACCATGGATCAATTTGGTTTTGACCGTGTTAAGATATGAGGTTCCATCTTAAAAAGTTAACTTGATAGAAAAAGTAGCTCATATCTTAATATAACATTTTATTGATTCAAACTATTATGCTGTGTGACTTTAACAATTGTTTTATTGTTTGGTGTTTGACTTAAGTTGGACTATTGGAGAATGGAGATTATTCGTTTTGGTTTGATTTTTTAAGTTTGTTAGTTCATCTGCTAGTTGGCATAATGACTGGAGAAATTTGTAATTATTAATTTTATTTTGCGATTTTTTTATTAATTTTATAATCCATTAATTCAAATAACCCAATTTCTGTTAAACACATAGTATAATTAATAGAAGATTTGTTAAAGAATACAAAAAAATTGTGATATTCTACATTCTTATTCTGTGCAAACATGAAAATATTTTACGCCGCAACATCCATCGCAGTGGTCGCATTAGCCGCAATCGCAATGACCGCTACCGCAACCAGAACGCCACCACAATTTAAAACCTTGGGCTCGCGGTTAGCACATTGCGTGCGAGCCCCAACCCATCATGTTTATTAAAGTGAAGATATATGTATTTATTTTAATAAACACGATGGGCTAGATACACGTAGTATAATTTAATTAAACAATTTCTTCGAATTAAACATATGATTAATGAATGCAAAAACATAATTTTCTCTAGAGTATATATGTGAAATGATAAAGAATTGAAGAGTAGGGCGGCGAATATGTATAGATAGACAGATAGATAAATGGCTTACGCGGGCATGAATCATGAGCATGCTACGAAGACGATGAGGAGACGAAACGTGAGCAGACATCACCTCTATTTTGTACCTTTCCATCACATAGCAAATCGCCGACAGCAGCCCTATCTTCCCCTCACAGCAAACGCTGATGTGTGCGTCGTCCCCGCATACGCTCACTGACACCTTCGCTGAGCTCCAGCACCCTTCATAATTAACACCTCCTCTTCTTCCCACATCATCCATATTATTAGCTGTCGCCAAATAAGGGTGGACGGTGATGATGTTCTGGTCACTACGATTATGATTATGATTATGATTCGATCCTGGGGCGGGAACGAAGCCGCGGCCGTGGTCGGCCAAGAACTCCTCCCTCGTGTGAGCACGGCCCGCCGGAGCTTGCGGGATTTCGGGGGAGAATATGCAGGAAAGATCGCCGTCGTTGGGTCTGGCGGCAGATGATAGAAGCTGCAGCTGCCGTTCCTGCTTTAGTTTCTCGAGGTGCAGAATGGCTGTTTGAAGTGCGATGATCTGCTTCGCAGCTTCCTCCACTATAGTCGCTTTGTCTACCTGCATGCATACACACACATATTCATTTTAACATCCAATCAAGTCAAATTTAAACACTAAAAATAATTTTAATTGGACTAGTTTAGAACTTTCGATCACCCCAACAAATATAAATAGATCAGATAAATTCAGAGTAGACATCAACCGCCATAAAATACAAATTGAACATGCACTAACTAAATCAAATCAGACAAATTCATATTAAATCAAACCATACCAATTAATATCATACTCGTATCATACTAGACCACCTTACAAAAATTCAATTCTTTTAATAAAAAAGTGGTAAGTAAAAAAAGTAAGCTTCTAGTTAGTGTCTATCTTTGCACAAATTGAATATATACTAGCTAAATTGTAGTGCATGTGTAGGGTGTTTAGATCTGCTTCTTCAAATTGCTTTTGCTCATTCACGTAGTAGAAGCAGATATTGGAGTGTTTGGGTGAAAGTTCAGAAATACGTCAGAATGCTCAAAATTACTCATAGAAACAGTTTTTAGAAGTTGAGGAGACCAATTTCTTAAAAACTAATTCTGATTCTACTTTTGTTTTTAAAAAAGTAGAAACAAAATCAATTCCAAACAATCTTTGATTGGATAATCATGATTGAAATGATATGATTTCAAACAAAAACATCTTTAATGTTAATGAGTGGAAAAATAGAAAGAAAAATTTTATTGGTACAAACAACGTCTGCACATTTGGCACACTACCTTGTGTACACAAGCATCTTGTTCAGAATAAAGTGACAATATTCTGGTACACAGGCGGATCTAAAATGTACACAATGTGTATACCCTTAATTGTCTTACACAAGTAACTTGTTATGAAAAATCACCAATTGTCTGTGTACATGGGAGATTGTATCAAATGTGTATACTTTTATGTACAAATGTGAAATAGAAATATTGAATTGTTAATGGGTCAAAAAATACTGCATTTGATTGGATAATCATGAGACGAATCTGACTGGATTGGGGTTTTACCCTGCCCTCGTCATTAATTGAATCTAAGAACTATATCATCTCTAATAATTAAGAGAAAGTGAGGTTTTCTCATTTGCCTTTCAACATGAGACCGGTAGATATATGGCCGAGGTAGATATATTGTAGAAATTTAAGAGAAATTGACTTGCAAAATTAATTTTAACTTTTCTTGGTGAAATAATTTCATTTTATTCACTTAATTCAGATGTTAATTTTTAATTATACTTTAATTTGAATTGTGCAACTTTGAAGAGATCTTAATGTATTTTATAAATATGTAAATCTTAATTTTTCAAAATGTAATTCAATTATCAATAGAGAAAATTCAACTTTAACATTGATTGACAAAAAATTGACTTTGCATATCAATTTGGGATCGACGGAGTATTTCATATTTTCATATTGATGATTTTTTTTTTAAAGAATTCAGTTATCTCGATCATAGTCAAGTTCAATGTTTACCAACTATATATCTAATGTGGGTTAATATGTTTTCTTCTATGATATTTTGACACGATACAAAATAAATTAGTTTTGAGTACCTAATTTTATTATTCTATTGAATTGTTTTGATAAAGTGATCATTTATTGTTATACAAGTTCTAATAATCATAACTTTATTTCGTGAATACATATCTTTCATTAATACGTATTTTGTGAATACGTATTTTCATTAATATCTAGTAGCATTATTTTAGTTGAAAAATGTCTTGTGTGATAATTCTATTATTATAAGCACAGACATTCATTGTTATAAGACGCCAAAGACCTACAGCTATTGGTGAAGTAAGGATTTTTCAGTTGAATTCGTTTGAGTCTCATATAAGAACATCAACCGTACTATATTAGACTTGATCAAACTAAACATTTATCAAACATCAAAGGCCGGACAAGATCAAATGAGAAAAGTGTAATAAAACAAAAAAAAACGGCACATAATATATTCTCATCATAAGATCTTGTAATTAACTTGTAAGGGTAACAAATACTGGAAATGGCAATGATTATCAAGATTCTCCTTAAACGAACCATATATAGATCGAATGACTCAATTACTACCGAGTTGACCCATTTTCTATTCTTGATGGTCCTAATTCTTTTTTCACATTTTGTTTTACATTAGCGTGTTTTTCCACTAACATGTCACTCTTGAGGTTGATCTTTTAGAATAGAATTCCGGATCTTAACAGAGCAAATCTTAGAATGAGGAAATCGAGTGTATCTAAAATAGATTATTTCAACAAGCAAATTAATTAGATTTTAGCATAGATTTCCATTGACTCTAATCACCTTAAGAGGAAGTTGAGGAAGTAAGGCATGAAGATGAGTAAACATGTTCCTCATCCTTTTCCTCCTCTCTCTTTCGGTCCAAGTATGCCCATCATGATCCGCCGCCACCTCACGGCGGCCTTCTGTAACTTCAGTCACAGGGGGAGATGCCGCCCTCCTCTTACCAAGTGACGGTGCCGGAGCCACCTCGGACAGCGCCGGAGATGACTCACTTTTTATGGCATTGGGCCCACCGGGTACTTTCCCGCTCCCAGATGAATTTGCATCCCGGCCGGATGAGACGCCGGCTGGCCGGATAAATTCCCTAATAAAAGAATTTTGAAAACCACTTTGATCCATCTCCGGCGACCCCCTGATCGGCTGTTTATTTAATTAGAGATCTTGAAGAGAGGGAGATTTAATTAAGAGCGACTTGATCTATACCCTTCCTTAATTACAGTAATAGAAATGAAAAATTAAAGGGTTAACCGGAAGTAGTATATAGTGGAGGGACAGGAGGGTGATTGGGTGGTTATATATACAAGTACATATGAGTACAATGACATCTAATGTAGTGTGAAGTTGACAAGTGTTCTTTGTGGGACTTTTATGTTCAAGGGAACTGTTTGGGGTGATACAAAAAGCTTTTATACTCCTTATATAAAATGAGAATGAAAATTATACTGCCCCGAGGGCATGTAGTTTGCGAAAAATGTGTTTTCCAATTTTTGGCTTTAAAAAAATGGAATAAGTGTTCTCAAGTGACAATTTTTGCATAAATTAAGCACTTAAAAATTAAGAAACGGAAATAAGTTGATGGTGTTTTGATGTACTATTCACTTTTTCTACTAAACAAAAAATACTTGGTTTACGAAATAGTACAAACATTTACTTTTTAGAAGCATTTTCCAAAATCACTAAAAAAACACTTTTTGAAAGTAGAAGCAAAAATACTCCTTATACTTTTTCCAAAATCACTTAAAAACACTTTTTGAAAGTAAAAGCAATCACAAACATTCCCTTACCAAAAGGGTATATTTGGGAGTTTAAGGGAAAAGGGACGGAAAAACCTTGAAGGTAAATTGTTGGATGGGAAATGAGGAAGGGGAAGATGTGGAAACATTTTTTCTTATTTAAGAGTAGTAAATTTGGAAAAGAGAGTTTTAGAAGGAAATATAATTAAAGTCACTTTTGAGATAGATATGGTAAATTCTGATTATCGAACTAAAATTTGTTTTAAATTTAGCTTAAAGTATCATATAGTTAGTCAACCATCACATGTCTTTCTTTCATTCCCTCCCAAAAACCAACTCTCAAACACTCTAAGGGTATGTTTGGGAGTTTAGGATGAAGGGGAGGGGAATGCTTTGAAGGTATGTTGTTGAAGGGGAAAGGGAGCGGAAGGTGAGGAAACTCTTTTTCGTATTCGAAGGATTATAATTAAAATCACCTTGAGATATGACAAATTCAAATAATTTAATTGATATTCATTTTAAATTAAAGTTAAATTATCATTTCATTAATTACCCGTCAAAACACTCCAAATTGGGGGAACTTAAAATTGAGCATTTAGAGGGTTTTGGAGGGTTACAAATGTCCCCCAAAATCATTCCCTTCAATTTCTTAAACTCTCAAACATGAAAAGGAGGATTATAAACCCCCATAAACCTTCTCTTTCCCTCCAAAACTCAACTCCCAAACACTACACCCTAAAGGGCACAGAACTAGCGGTAAAACATTGAAAAGTTTGAGCATCTAAAACATTGAAATAATTCGGCTTAATATATTGTGCATCATATAACACATTTCGAGTTAAAAGTTTAATTCGACATCATGTAAATTTCAAATTAGTAAAAGTTGATACTCTGTATTAATTTCAAATTTTAAAAATGACAATTTATTCACTAATCACTAAGTAGACGTCAAATTTATAATACTTGAGTGTATTACAATTTACACCCACACACATATACTCCGTATATAACTAATAATGTAACTCTCTTGGTCTAATTTTCTCCCAAACAGTACATGGCTAAGTTTTTATCTTGTATTTGTGGCTCTCTCCAGAATATATACTACGTATAAACTTACAGAAAATCCTTTGCATGTCTCCAGTTCAAAATTATTATGCAAACCCTTGTTTACAAAGTTTGCTGAGGAAAAATTGGTTCTTTGATGAGTTTTAATTACATAGTTTGGAATTACATTGAAAGATCTATTGAATTGCTAACGTTATACTGAAAATGATCACAAATTCATTACTGTTGGGTTTTTCCTTTGTTTTTGACCCATGAGGAAAGCCCAAGTATTGAGCCCATTAAAAGTCTTCTTTGACTTTGTGTGTTTGGGAGCTAATAATCAAAAATATGGGTCAGCCACTAACATACATTCGATGGACAGAAAGAGAGCAGCAGAAAAGAGAGCATAAGTCGTAAACATGAGCTGAGTGTGCTCATCCCGTTTTTCCAGCAGGCAGCAGCAGAAAACTTCTGTTTCCCGGAGATTGAACCGTTGGATCGTCGTGATTTTTGGACAGCAGCTTCACAGCATCTGAGCCAACATTCTGGACGGTGGAGATCGGGTTTTGAGGTCCGGAGGTCGGGTTTCGTTGCTCTGGACAGTAGTTATTTTTCTGGTGATATATTTCTTATCTTGGCTCTATTTTGATTCCATACACCTTGATGTGCTTACTTCCAAGGATATGATGACTTTGTATGCCTCTAGTATTATCTAGAGAAGACTTTGTACTGCTCCTTTGATGATGATAGTGGATTTAAGCGGCCAAAATGGTCCCGTGGTTTTTCCCTAGTTAACGGGTTTTCCACGCTAAAATTCCGGTGTTTTTGTGTGGTGTGTGCTTACTGTTTTAGCTCATTATATTGGTGTGTGGCAGCCATATTGTGTGTTCTAATTGTATTAAGAACACCCTATTTGTTTGCATCCTCAAAGGTTCATTCAAGTTGGGGAAAGTTTAGCCAAACGGAGATTAATTCCGCATTTTATTAGTTCCGTTTGGGGCTGTTTTTTCCCCATCAAATTGGTATCAGAGCCGAGTTCTTCTGTATTGGGTTAGACTTGTTTGAATGATGGAAGCAAACACAAGTAGGATGATCAATTTGAATGGTTCTAATTATCATGTTTGGAAAGGCAAAATGGAAGACCTACTTTATGTGAAGGATTATTATTTGCCTGTGTTTACTACTGATAAACCTGAGAGTAAAACAGATGCAGAGTGGAATATTTTGCATAGACAGGTTTGTGGGTATATTCGCCAATGGGTTGATGATAATGTTTTGAACCATATTAGCGGGGAAACTCATGCTCGCAGTTTGTGGAACAAGCTTGAACAGTTGTATGCTCGAAAGACCGGGAACAATAAATTGTTCTTAATAAAACAGATGATGAGCTTGAAATACCATGATGGAACTCCTGTTACTGATCATTTGAATTCTTTTCAGTGAATCATAAATCAACTTGCAGGAATGGGTATCAAGTTTGAAGATGAGATACAAGGCTTGTGGCTTCTTGGCACTTTACCGGACTCATGGGAGACTTTTAGGACATCATTGTCCAACTCTGCACCAGATGGTATTATCACCATGGAATTAGCTAAAGGCAGTGTTTTAAATGAAGAGATGAGAAGAAAGTCACAAGGTTCCTCTTCACATTCTGATGTCTTAGTTACAGAAAGCAGGGGGAGAAGTCAGAGTAGAGGTCCAGGTAACAAAGGGAAGCATCGAAGTAAATCCAAAGGAAAGTTTGCTGATTTTGAGTGCTATCATTGTGGTAGAAAAGGGCACACAATACGATTCTGCAGGCAATTGAAAAAGGAGAAGAAGAAGAGCGATTACAACAATCAAAAGAACCATAAGAAAGATGAGGGTGGTAATGGCAATGCTGAAGTTAACAGTGCTACCGATGAGTTCCTGATTTGTTCTGATCTTGATATGGTCAACATTGCACATGATGATTCCAGTTGGGTTGTTGATAGTGGTGCTACGTGTCATGTAACATCACAGAGGGATTTTTATTCATCTTACACTCCAGGTAACTTTGGTAATGTTAGGATGGGTAATAATGGACTATCAAAGATTGCAGGCATCGGAGATATTTGTTTGAAGTTTGACACTGGGATAGAGTTGGTTTTACATAATGTAAAACATGTTCCAGATATGAGACTTAATTTGATCTCCGCAGGCTTACTTGATGATGATGGTTACAGCAACAACTTTGGTAATGGAATATGGAAACTCACTCGTGGTTCTTTGATCGTGGCTAGAGGTAAAAGATGCTCAAAGTTGTACATGACACATCCGAAGATCTTCAAGGATAGGGTCAATGCTGTGGTGAACACTGACATGACTGATTTATGGCATAAGAGACTTGGTCACATGAGTGAAAAGGGGATGTCTCTTTTGTTGAAGAGAAATGTGTTACCGGGTGTGCATGATATTCATCTAAAGAAGTGTTCTCACTGTTTGGCAGGTAAACAGAACAGGGTTTCCTTTAAGAGCCATCCTCCTTCCAGGAAGGAGTGTATACTTGATTTGGTGCATTCTGATGTTTGTGGTCCTATGAAGACTAGGACACTTGGTGGTTGCTCCTACTTTGTCACATTCATTGATGATCACTCCAGAAAGGTATGGGTTTATACCTTGAAATCTAAAGATCAAGTATTTGAGGTGTTTAAGCAGTTTCATGCCTCGGTTGAGAGACAGACTGGAAAGAAGCTCAAGTGTATTCGGACAGATAATGGAGGGGAATACATTGGCCCCTTTGATGCTTATTGTAGAGACCATGGTATTCGACATCAAAAGAGTCCTCCCAAGACACCGCAGCTGAACGGATTAGCAGAGCGGATGAACAGAACTTTGATGGAGCGTGTCAGATGTTTGTTGTCACATGCAGGGCTGCCAAATACATTCTGGGGAGAAGCTTTGAATACAGCGGTACATGTTATTAATCTAACTCCTTGTGTTCCTTTGTCTTTTGATGTACCTGACAGGGTTTGGAGTGGCAAAGATGTTTCTTACCGCCATTTGAGGGTTTTTGGATGCAAAGCTTTTGTGCACATTCCTAAAGATGAAAGAGCAAAGCTTGATGTGAAGTCCAAACCATGTGTTTTCTTGGGTTATGGCCAAGATGAGTTTGGTTACAGATTATATGATCCAGTCCATAAGAAACTTATTCGAAGCCGAGATGTTGTGTTTGTGGAAGATCAGACCTTGAAAGATGCTGAGAAGAAAGATACAGTTCCTCAACATAATG